CTGGCCGAGTTGAGGGTCTGGGCTTGAACTCAAGCTGTCAGCCCCTGAACTCTTCCCAGCTTCCGAAAGGGCTCTGGGACTGCATGTGGCCCTCAGACCTCAGAGCTCACCTGTCACTCGGAACTGCTCTGCTTCCCATCCCCGAGCTGCTCAGTGACCTTGGGCACTTACCGGCACTGGCTGATCCCAGGCCCCTCCTAGCATGAGGCCAGTCCAGCTCCCCTCCACAGGGCAGGAGGCCTTCCCCACCCTGCCTCCCATGGCAGCTGACCGAGCCACCTGAGCTCGCCTTGTCATCCGTGGATCTCAGCACGGCATGCTGGGCCCGTGGCTGCAGGGAAGCGGCAGGTGGCCTGTGCAGGCCATGCCCAGGCGGGCAGCCCGAGGGGCTGTGCTTGCTTAGGAGGTGCACATGCGCTTCCTGGGAGCAGCTCTCCTGGGGTCAGGGTGAAAAGATGACAGGCAGGTGAGGCCCAGCCCTGTCCCAGCAGGCCGCTCTCCCTGGGCACCTCGAGGCAGACAGTGGGGCAGGGACTGACTCTGTCCAGGCCGGCCAGATATTTTACTCAGGGGCCCAGGAGGGCTAGAGTTGGAAAGACCCACAGAAAAGAGCAGATGTGGTGGGTCCTGAGCCTCAGTTTACGCACATGGCAGCCTCTGAGGACTCTGTCCTCTGACAGTCTGGATTTATGCAGAGTGTGTGTGGAGGGGACAGCTAGCCAGCTGGCCTTGGATAGGAGGCTGCAGTAACAGTGGGCCTGTCTTGGAAGTTCCCAGCCAGCCCTGACCACCTCACCATCTTGGTGGTAGGAACAGTGCCACCGTCCAGCTGGCTCTCAGAGCTGGCTTCCCAGGCCATGCCATGGCAGGGCTTGGAAGCCTCGTGTGGCAAATGCAGACACAGGCTCAGAAGGGGTTTGCGACTTGCCTGTGGCCACACAGCAGCCCCGAGGCACCCAGTCCAGTGCTCTCCCGCCCTCCCCTGGTAGTTCACGCTCTGCCTGCTGCGGATGGCTGGGACCGTGCAGGGGTGACAGGACTGGCTCTGACCTCCCTGGGTTCCAAGGGCAGGCCGCCCTTCACCAACCAGGGCTCCCAGGGTCGTTGGGGGCAACCTGCGGCCCTCTCTTCTGCCTCTGGCATCTTCCCGCGGTACTGCTGGATGCTGCTGCTGGCTCCCCTGTCTGAGGGTACCTGTGGGGGGCCCCTCAAGCCCCACGAATGCCCCCCACGCAGCTGCTGGTTGGCTGTGTACCTGCTCCCCACCTCCCATCACCAGAAGCAGCGCGAGCAGCCGCGCAGCTTAGAGCGCTGAAATGGAGCAAATGCCTGCTGAGCTGAGCTCCCTCTGGGTGGGTCCGCTTGAGCTCCGGCACGGGGGTCGCCAAGGCGAGATAAGGGCCACGTGGGAAAGCGCTTACTGCTCCTGTGTGGGACTTGGCGACAGCAGAGGGCAGGGTGCCTGGTGGGGGCCCAGAGAAGGGTGTGTGCACCCCATGGGCATTGTGGGAGAAGGGAGTCCCCCAACTGCGTCCAGAGCCCAGGGAAGTCCTGAGCACGCGGTGTGGGTGGGCGCTACAGCGGGGCCGGACCACCGTTCTCCAGTGCCGGCGGCCCAAGGCCAGGAGCGGCTGTCCCTGTCCGAGTCATCACCCTGCGCTGCAGGTGGCGGCACCTACTCATTTGTGACTGGCCTTCGACCTGGCCCAGCTGGCTGCAGGGAATGGCAGGTGGACCAGCCATCTCAGGGACCCTGAGCAAGCCCATGGGTACAGGCTGTCCGCACAGGCCGGCTCCCAATCCGAGTCACTCGTTCGAGCGTGGCAGGAACGTGTGAGGCGAGGAAAGGCAGATGACCCAGGAAGTGCCAGGGAGCGATTTGGGGAGTGAGGCTGGGAGGCTGGAGCCACTGCCCTTCCTGCTCCATGCCCACATGTGGTGACCCGGGGCAAATCGGGAAGCCCTGGGCAGCACCGAGTCTAGGAGACGGGCACAGGTGGGTGTTGGGAAGATCGAACCAGGCAATGCAGTGTGCCGGCATGGGCATCCTTGGCCTGTGCAGAGACTCGCAGGACTGGCACCCTTGTTGAGGCTCAGAGAACTGCAGCCTCTCTCTTCAGCCCCCCCCCCCCAGGGAATTAGCGGGAGTGGCAGCCCGGTGAGTAACTGGTGAGTAACCGAGTCAGCCCCTGTGGCACAGCCAGGTGAGAGCAGGGGCCGGGGGGTCAGCGGGTGGAGAGGAGGACACCCTCAGGGCACCCGCTGGTCTGCAGGGGTCCGGGACGGTGAGACAGCAGGTACTTCTGACCCCGCTCCAGCTTCTCTGGTGGAGGAGCAGGGCCATGGGCCTCTGAGGGTCCTCCTCATCTGGCTTTGTCGAGACCCCATCCTGCACGGCCAGCGCGAGCTCACCGAGCCAGCCCACTGCCCCGGAGTGCATACTCTCCACTCACCTGGCCGCAGGCCCTGCCCTGCCCTCCTGCTTGCCTGACTGCCACCCCAGAGTGGGCTCCACCACCCATCCGCTCTACGCCACTGCGCACTCCATGCCCCCCACTGCGCACTCCACACCCCCACCGCGCACTCTGCACCC